CCACCCTTCCGGCGTTGCGTGAGTGCCATCCTTTCTCAGGCCTGAGGTCAATTGAGTTGGACAAGACTAACAACTATCTCAAGGCCGAACAAGGAACACACGGAGATTGAAGAGTCCCTCCACGACAAGGCACACATCGACTACGACCGTGTAGCCATTGTAAGCTTACCTGGACGTACAAACCTCAACTCCAATACTAACCATGCCAGATCGCCAACCCTTCAGTCGCTGCCCTCTACGAAGATGCGCTCGTATACGAGACCGGCTCAGCCATCACAGCCTCAGGCGCTCTCTCAGCATACTCAGGAGCCAAGACCGGCCGCTCACCCTCGGACAAGCGCATCGTCGAGGAGGACTCTTCAAAAGACGACGTCTGGTGGGGTCCAGTGAACAAGCCGATGAAGGCCGACGTAAGTCTTCTCCGCATTTCCTACGCATTAAACTTTTGTCTACGTCAAACCGCGGAATTGGCCTGTGAAATTTTGGCGGCAGACGTCATGTACGCTAGGCGGATACCCGATGGAGTTCGCATCCCTGCACGTGGCGCGGTTCTGGGGCTCGGCTGCCCCGCATCGCGCCTGCATGACGGATCAACTTCCATCGATCCATCTGGAAGACTATCACGTGCGCATCTTGAGCTCCTGCTGACATCCCATCCAGGTCTGGCGTATCAACCGTGAGCGTGCCATCGATTACCTCAACACCAGGAACCGCATTTACGTCGTCGATGGCTTCGCCGGCTGGGACAAGCGCTACAGGATTCGCGTTCGTGTCGTCTGCGCTCGTGCTTACCATGCTCTCTTCATGCGCAACATGTTGATCCGCCCTTCAAGGGAAGAGCTGGAACACTTCGAGCCTGATTACACTATCTACAATGCTGGTGCTTTCCCTGCCAACAGGTACACCAGCGGTATGACCTCGTCAACATCCGTCGCCCTCAACTTCGCCGACAAGGAGATGGTCATCCTCGGTACTGAGTACGCTGGTGCGTAACTTTTACTACTTCTACTGCTTCTTCAAGAACGACGCTGACTTGCCCATAGGAGAAATGAAAAAAGGAATCTTCACTGTTCTCTACTACGAGATGCCTGTCAAGCACAACGTCCTGACTCTTCACTCTTCCGCAAACGAGGGTATCAAGAACGGCGATGTCACCGTCTTCTTCGGTCTTTCCGGAACTGGCAAGACCACCTTGTCTGCCGACCCCAAACGTGCCTTGATCGGTGACGACGAGCACTGCTGGAGCGACACTGGTGTCTTCAACATTGAGGGTGGTTGCTACGCCAAGTGCATCGGTCTCTCTGCCGAGAAGGAGCCAGATATCTACGGCGCCATCCGCTTCGGATCGATCCTCGAGAACGTTGTCTTCGACCCAGTAACCCGTGTTGTTGACTACGACGACGACACCCTGACCGAGAACACCCGCTGCGCCTACCCCATCGAGTACATTGAGAACACTAAGATCCCCTGCATCTCAGAAGGCCACCCCAAGAACATCGTTCTCCTCACTTGCGACGCCCGCGGTGTCCTTCCTCCCATCTCCAAGCTCAGTCCCGAGCAAACCATGTACCACTTCATCTCCGGTTACACTTCCAAGATGGCCGGTACCGAGCAGGGTATCACCGAGCCCCAGGCTACCTTCTCTTCTTGCTTCGCCCAGCCTTTCCTTGCTCTCCACCCCATGCGCTACGCCAAGATGCTCGCGGAGAAGATCCAACAACACGGCGCCAATGCCTGGCTCCTCAACACCGGCTGGGTCGGTGCCGGTGCTACTACAGGCGGCAAGGTAAGACAATCCCTCAACAAGGGTCATTCGCAACACATGCTAACTATCACTTCAGCGCTGCCCCCTCAAGTACACCCGCGCCATCCTCGACGCCATCCACTCGGGTGAGCTCGCCAACGTCGAATACGAGACCTACGAGACCTTCGGCCTCTCCGTCCCCAAGACCTGCCCCAACGTCCCTGACGAGCTCCTCAACCCCGCCAAGTCGTGGAACGGCACCGCAGACTTCAAGGGCGAAGTCGAGAAGCTCGGCAAGCTCTTCATGGAGAACTTCAAGAAGTACGAAGATCAAGCCACCAAGGAGGTCATCGAGAGTGGTCCACACGTATGCTGCTGCCCCAAGCACTAGACGGTTGTTTTTCGGTTCCGACATACCTTTCTTACTCTTTTGACAGACTGACTAGCGGATTTTCTCCTTACGATGTTTCTTTCTCCTTACGTTACAGTCGAGCGGGTACCCTCCATCGACGTCAGCGGCTGTGCTTTCCTCTTTCTTTTTTTGATTGGATGGTTGTGGGCATAATGTGTGCCTGAAGATGGGATTCGATATGATATCATGGTTTTCTCTTAATCGTTCGATGCGTCTTATGAGCGCTTTGTTGCGTGTACATACACATTTTGGCGTTGGGTCCAGCTGAGCATTTCATGGCAGAAGACGAGAACGTAGCATAGCTGCTGTTGGAAGAGGAGAGAGAGAGAGAGAGACAAAATTATCATCATGTTCATCGAAGCGGTGTTCATTATGGTATAGGTGTGATTGAGACTGTACCACTCTCGGAAGATACTTGGACCGCTTTCGGAAGGTATCTGTCGAGAGTGGTACATCCTTATTCCACATCTATACCATAATGCACAGAGCTTTTGATGAAAGAATGAATCTTTTCAATCAAACACATCCTCCGATACTCCTTGACTCGAAAGCGTGAAGGTATCAAACTGTTGACTTCGTGCTCTTGCCACTACTATTCCTTACTGCCATCTTAATACAAGCTATTCCAACTCCCTTCCAACCATCCTCATCTATCTCCCATCTCCCACATCCCCAAATTCACCACCAACTCTCTCACAAAACCGCCTCATCCATATTCCTAATCCACCCCCACATCCACATGACCGTATCCAAATGCGCCTGCACCCCCACCCTCTCATCCACCGTATGAATATTGCCCAGACCAACCTGCTCCCTATCCCAACCCGGTCCATACCTAAAGATATTCTCGCTCAAATCCCAGTAGTAGCGCGTATCCGTGTTTCCAGTCATGATACCAGGACTCACTAGCAGATCTTTGCCGTAGAGCGCACGGGTTGTGCCGGAGAGGATCTGGTAGGGCGTTGCGGTTTTGTTTGAGTGTGAGGTTGATTCCAGGGATGTGGGTGTTACGGGCGCGGGTTCTAGCATGGTGGGGCCGTGGGAGAGGGTTATACTCGAGGGGGTCTCGGTGCCGTTGAAGGCGTGGAGGGTGAGGTTGTGCTTTTGGGCGACTTGGGCCGCGAGGGACGCGATGTGTGCTTTCACGGCTGAGGAGCTGGAACCGACGTTTATACGGTGGTTTACTGTGATTTGGGTTCGTTCGGGCAGGGCGTTTGTCTTTACGCCGCCGTGGATTATGTCGACGGCTACGGAGGTTGTGAAGAGGTATTTTATACCGGGGCCTGCTTTTGCGGCTTCAAGGGCGAGGGCGTCTTTTGAGGACTTCTTCGAGCACGTTGAACTGCGTTTGGAGCGCTTGTCGAGAAGTTTGCCGAGGTGGTGCGGGAAGTCTGGGGCGTGCGAGGCGCCGCATTGGAGGAGGCCCAGGTACGGGTTCTCGTCTGCGAGGTGGGGCTCGTAGGCGTTTGATTCGATTAGGGTGATGAGCTCGCTGGCTACGCCGATGCCGTTGTGTGCGGGAGGGATACTGCTGTGGCCGCCAGGCATGCGCACGACGATGTCGACGTCGATGTAGCCTTTTTCGGCGACACCGGGGATGGCGAAGTTTGCACCCCAACTTTCGACGTTTACGGCGCCTTCGTCGATGATGGCGGCGATGGAGTTGTGGCCGAGCTTCTTCAATAGGTACTCTGAGAGATGGCCTGCGCCTTCACGACCAGAGATCTCCTCATCGAACCCAAACGATAGAATCAAAGTTCGCTGAGGAGTAAACCCAGCAGAAATCAACGCCTCAACGCTGTTCAAAATAGCCAGCAACTGGTTCTTGCAATCACTTGCACCTCTGCCCCAAACAAACTTCCCATCGTAATGACCAGAGAACGGAGGATACGTCCATTGCTTAACCGTAGAGTCCGGAACAGGCACAACGTCCTGGTGCGCCATGACCAGATTAGGCTTCAAGCTCGCATCCGTGCCAGCCCACGTATACAGCAAGCCATGCGTATTAACCTTGTCCAACTGCAATGCCGCATGCGTCAACGGGAAAGTCTTTTCAAGGTAGTCGGCAAAAGAGTACATAATGTCCCAGCGCGGGTCGGATCCAATATCGCCCATGTCGTCGTAGCTTTGCGTGGGGATCTTGACGGCACCTGATAAGCGGTCGATGGCAACGTCTCGGAAGGCATCGGACGTCAGGTAACTTTCCATCTCATCCAACTCTTTTGTCTTCCTCGTTGGGAACAGGGGTTCAACCTGAGGACATTGCGCTTTCGAGTTGGCATCGCCTGAACGGGATGGAAGCTGCCATGGCGACGATACAGGAACGGTGATATGACGTAAGAAAGCCAAACCCGCCAAGCAAAACAACGCGCTTCCAACGAATTGCCGGTAGTAAGAGCGACTATACTGCTTCGATGGAACTGGAACAGGCGTCTGCGTTCCCCAATTCTTGCCCGCCATAGTGTGATGCTTGTTGATGGTTAGAGTCTTGGTGTGTCTTGGTTATCGGATGTTGCGCGGGGATAAGTGGTGGTACGTTTGCGACTAGTCTCGATCAGGAAGGTATGTACATGGCTTTGTCAGTATTTATCGGATCGACGAGATAATCGTATCTCGTGTCCCTATTTGTTTGTTGTATATGTCGGAAAAATATCCGGCTTGCGTTCACTTATTGGACGGCGGGGAGGTTGTTGTGCGTGGGTGGTATTATGTAGCTAAAGCTCAATTCTGAAGAAGACGTCATTTTCTGGTCATGGCCTAATTTGGCATTCCTGCTTCACAGCTAATCACCGGCTAGTCGTTTGATCGGAGACACCTCATATCCAAATCTGTCACCATACACTGCTACAATGAACCCTCTGGCCACTTGTACTCCGGCCACGGGAAATCTGGATCGTACTTCTGCTGAAGCACAACACTTCCTGCTGGAAACGTCTTCTGTGAGCCATCAGGCATATCCACCGGCTGCGCCTCATCAATAAAGGTCCACGCTGCGAGTAGACCAGCAGCCCGCGCAACCTCGTCCTTGAGCTTCCCGAGTTTATCTGGCTGGGGAGAGAAGTTCTCAAGCAGAGCTTTCTCCCTAGTCTCCTCGAATTCTCCCGGTTCAGCCGTCACTTCCACGTCTTGATCACGCTGTTGCTCTCTCATATCCATTCCACCGCAATCCGACACCAAGGGCTGGAAGAAATCATTCTTCAACGGTCGCTCCACTTCAGCATTGTCCAGATCCTCGTCGATGTCGATATTGGCAATCTCGTAGTTTATGTACGTCAGAGCCAGGCATTCCGTCTTCACAAGGAGCTTCACGACCACTTGCGTACTTTCTGCTTGCCCCTCTTCCACCATTTCGTCGTCGGCAAAGGCATCCACGTACCAGACTGCACTCCTCTTCACTGCATCTTCGTCAATGACGACGAATGGGGATTTTCGGCCTGCTTCGTTCTCTTTGGCGCGCATATATTGATGGGATTTGCCGATGTAATCAGCGGGAGGTTTTGTGATCTTGAGCTCAAGCAATGGCTGGAATCGAGAGCAGGCGCCGAGTTCAAATTCTGTCTTGACTTTCGCGAGATTGTTGTCGTTCAACGGAGCCACAATATATGCTGTGAGGCATGTGACATCGAAGGGAGGCGAAATGAATACCATGATGATGGTGAGTTTGGTAGTAGCAGAAGGGGCTGAATGTGAGCATTTCGAAGGATTGGTACTTCCTGACTGATTATATGTGATGCATACTGCATGGTGGTCCTCGCGTTGCCAAAGACATTGTGCTCGGCCATGCAGGAGACCAACGATTGGCTACAGTTACGCTCGCGCAGGCAGCAATGTTGTTGAGGGCCCTGCCTTTAGCGGCTCGAGTTAGCTCAAGATCGGCACTGCCGATCTGGAAACGTTAGGTTCTTCAGCAATACACTTCAAGGCTAACACGATCGTGCCGTACACCGAAGTAGAACTCCAACAACTGGCACGGCGCAAGGCTAGGCTCCAATTCGAATCAGAGGTGCCTACTCCTCTTGACTTGGGGTGTTTGTAGGTAGATCACAATGCTTATCATGACTCCAGAACTTGTGTCGCATTTAGCCTCGACGGGATCTTCATTGTACCCGATGCTGACCTGTCGTGGCAGTGGATGCGTCGTCGCATACAAATGTCCTCTCGGATTGGAACGAGCATACATGATATGGAGAGAGTACAGATGGTGAGAAGTACGAGATGCCCATCAGCGCCTACCTCGCACAGCCTGTACGCATGTCAATACAATATCTAAGTCCTGAACACTATCAGCGCATTCTCATCCGGCGAAGGACCTATATCCGGCCAAATTTCCGTCTGGCACCCAGCTGCCCTCCGAGCCATATCCCTCTCCAGGAAATTCGACAACTCCAGACTATCCCAAAGGATCTCTCTCCTCCTCCGCGACCGCAGCATACTAATAATCCTCCGCCGCACTACCACATCAGTGCAGAAAACATATAGCTGGAATAACGCAGTGGTGAGATCCGTTTTGAGTCCGTAGAGTGGTTGTTTCGACTTACTCCACAAGCGATCGAGGTCGTCGAGGAGGAGACTGCATTCTACAGCGTCGAGATTTCCAGTGGGCTGGTTGTCGCAATCGAATGCAGGGCTTTCCTCTGCTAGTAGCAACTCCCAGAGTTTGTACTGGATTTTCAGATTGACAATTCTTTCTAGGTTCCTTGTGTATTCGGCTGTGCCTACTAGGTACTTCACCATGGCCTGGAATTGTATATCCCATACTCGCAATCGTTGTCGTAATATTGCCCATTGCTTTTCGCACTCGGAGTTGTTATGGTCCCGATCCTGCTCCAAGTCCCATGAGATGTGCGTGACGACATCATCAAACGTGTTCAACACATCTTCCGCCTCGACGAGATCCCGAAGCTTTCCAGCAGGTTTGTTGTACTTCTTTTTCGGGGCCATGAATGGCGTCATGTTTGCGAATATACGGTTTGGGGAGAAGAGGCCGACTTGGCTGCCAATGGCGTGGAATATAGCTGCCAGTTCCTCAATATCATGGTTAGGTAGGTATGTGCTGGGTTTGTGGTTCGCAATGAGTTCTGTTCCAGACTTGATGTGCCGAATCGCTTCGCTGAAGTTGCCGCGTAGGCTCTCGAGAATGGCAAACAAGACGCAACATGTCAGGATAGTGACTAGATCGGTTTGGGCATCGTTCGCGGTGCCTCTTCCGTGTATCAGACCAGATATGGCATCATTGTAGTGCGACAGGGTAAAAGCTTCAAGACTTGATGGCTTGTCGTGGTCGCATGTTGTGAATTGCCAATGGACGGCGCCAAGAGCCATGACTGCATGTCGTACACACGAGACGTTTTGGCTAGGGCCCTGGAAGGCCTTTTGCCAGAAGTTCTTGTTCAAAGATTCAGATATCTCCATGTCGTGAATCGTGTTGGTGAAGAAGTGAGTGTAGTAGTAGGTTTCCAGGGGATGGCCTGGTACCAACAGCGTTCTGGGAAGATCGAAGATCGAAGATCCCCTTGAAGAGCAAACGGTTCGGATAGGCTTTGGTGCCAGCACTGGCGCGTTCGGGGTCTGCCATTTCTTTAGAGGCGCAGATGCGTAGCCATCGCAGACGAAGCCGGCTAAAGTGCATCTTTGACATGTTGGTTCAGTCTCGTCGCATTTCTTTCGTCTTTGCTTGCTGGGCGAATTAGGTAAACCAGGTGTTACGGGGTGCGACAAACCACACTGCTGACCTACCAGGTGATACAGCCTGTACGCGTCTTGTGGGAGAAAGCTCTAACCCTCCGTGCGCCGGATGGTGGCTTTGTGTTTTGCATCGCGTATATGCAGGGGGAAGTGTGCGTACATCCTACTTTAATGGCCAAAGATTGGCAGGACCGGGCTCCAGTCTGAGTCACACGCGTATGTTCTGCACTGTTGATACGGGAACCTTCGATGGGGGAGATTTGCCAGCCCGTACGCGGTGAGCCGGGAACTTTGGTCGCTGCGCGTCGGGCAGCTTCGTTCAGGATATGATTGGCCTCCTATACGCGCAGGCCCACCGACTGCTATAACGGGACTAGCGCTTAGCTCGCCACGCCCACCAAAGTCCGCATGAAGCCGAGCTACCTTTCTTTGGCTGTAGAGCCTTGAAAGTATCTAAACGGTGTACAATTCGGCTGAGTCTGAATTATGTGATCAGGTACATCCGCAGGGCGAAGCAAGAGCTTAGGCGTTAGGCTCCAGGGCGCAGAGCTGGCTGAGCTTCCGAAAGAGAACGCGAGGCATTCAGCCTTGCATAGGTGACCCTTATCGTCTGGGCTTTTGCTCGTTCGATTTAACCTCCTCTCACGATACCACATTGGCCAAGAATACAACTATCGCCCTATCTTCAGCTCGAAACATGACCGATACCCAACGATTGAAACCCACGATGGCTGTCGCTCCAAGCCAGGAGAGTTCACCCTCAAAGTTAGATGCATTCCTATCAGTCCACCCCGAGATCCACATTGGTCGCGCCGCTCTTGAAAGCCTCCAATCTGCCCACGATGGCAGCGACTCATTCTCCATCATCAACAAGCCGTTCGTAAACATGGTGCTGTATCAAGAGTTCGATGCGGATACGAGAGAGCGCATATACGTCGTCGCATTGATTGACGACCAGAAAGCTCTTGACCATTATGAACAAGACTGCGGTGGCACTTCGAACGAAAATGGATGCGACTGTGCAGAGAACCAAGGGCCCGAACACATGATTTACGAGCGTGTCGTCGAATACAAGAGCGCGGATTGCGAGAACCACAAGGATGAGACGGAGCCGGACCCTGATTGCTCTGAGTGCTGGCCAGTTTTGTGCGGGAGTAAATGCGCTCCTTGAAGTACCTGAGTGACGAGCAGCAGTCACAAGTTGGAGATCCTGTACTGTTTGGTTTCGTAGAACTTGAGTTGTTTTAAAGAAAATTCATGGTAACTGTCGAAAGCGTTTTGTCTCTACCTCCTGTCAAATTAATCGAATGATGGCTGTTGGTAGATGACCGGGCATAAAGGTGTAATCCAGTAATCGATGCCACTTGATACTTCTCTGGAGGCTGTTGTGGATTTATTTGTAGGCTGGCACAGCAAATGTACATCCTGACAAGCTCACCTTTCCAAGCAATGACGTGAATGGGGGTTTTGTCAGTGCATGCACTTGGGAAACTAAGCTACGAGAGATGTATTGACATGCTATAATCGATATTCTTATAATCCAATGGGTAGACGTAGTAGAACAATGAATGGTACAAACAGGACAAATACCACAGCGGTAGGTGCATTGAGAGCGCTGGCGCCGCTCACTTGTATCACTGACACTGCTTTCAGCGTGAGCTTCGAGGCTTGCTAACGAGTGGCCTTTTAAGAACAACTATTACCTGGTATGTTGCTGCTAGCTGGGATGCCGTCAATAGTGGATTTCACAAAGTCGTATCCGATATCCGTTCGAATCCCCTCAGGGTTTTTAATCTCGGCGTCCTTATCTTGATAGATTGTTAGCAAAGCTGCGGGCTTAGCCCGGAAGTACAACTTACACCACAACTCATAGGCCTCCGGATGGGGCCCAACAAGACCAACAAAGCCTTTACCGTATGGCGTGACTGAGGCAGCGACGTTCTGATTGGCAGAGTATCTAGCAACAATTCCACGGTCAGAGTCGTTGAAGCCTAGCATCGTTGCGCCTTCTTGGAAGTACGCCCATCTGGACTTCTCCAATGTCGGGCTGCCAGTGCTAGCATTGAACTTCCAATCGACTTGAATCGTGGTATCTCGGTCGTCGTCAACCTGTGCTTTGTCTTGCAGTATTTCGGATCCGACGTCGATGCCGCTGGGCATAAGATCGAGTGCCGACTTTCCAGCAAGATAGGCCCCCAGGCAGAAGCCCATATACCGACCGCCGCCGTTGACAAATTCTCTGATCGTCTTCGCATGCGTTTTGAGCTCATCCCAAGCTTCGTCGAGATCTGTGAAATCATTCTTAGTCTTTTGTGCTTACTTCAAAGTCAAGACGTGCTACGTTCTCATCATTGGGCTAGTAAATACTGACCTGGTCCACCAGGATATGCGTAGAGATCGGCTTTAGAGAGAAGTGAGGGGCTGAGGTCCACTTCTTCGTCCGGTCCAGCATACGTAACGTTGAAGTGGTAAGGGGAATTCATGAGGAGTCTGCCGACACTCTCGGAGCAATTGTCGCAAGCGCTGGATCCACGGTAGACGATGGCTGTCTTCATGGCTACGACAGCGGGTAATGCCAGGAGCAGTACTAGACCATCTGCGATTCTCATCTTGATTCGAGTAGTCGAGGAGTGCTATGTTGCGCTTGAAAGAAGTGTGTAGGTTGATGGAATACAATAATGTAGGTGTGTAACATGTCGAGTTTTATACACACGGCTTTATCTATGTATGTACAAGAGAAGATGGTACCTTGATGTTCCTCGGGCGGGCCTCCCGCCCTATGCGCGACACTCATGAGGCCCACCATACCTAGGTATGAAAAGCCTCCACTACAGTCATCGCGCGAGCGCGTATACGATTGCTGGGCGAGAGGATCAATACTTAGATTTCGCTAGCAAATAATCAAGCCGACACTGAACTTCGCTGTCGGCTTAGCATCAGGCTGTGTCACGCGTCGAACGCAGATCATTTGTAGTGAGATCAATTGAATGGTGGAAGCGTATAGCTGGCTAATCAGCGACTTGCTGATATCATAAAGTGATGTAAAGGTACCTAGGTAGCACCGGGCAAGTTCTCTCAAGATGTTGGCGTCGGCCCCTGACTGCGCGTAAAGCCGGCCAATCAACGACTTCGGCCCCACCTGAGGCGAGAAAAACCTTGGAAGCGTGACATCTCCATCTCACACCTATTCGAGTCCAGCAACTCTCTCGCATCAGAACTTACGTGATGGCCCCTCATCGTGACGCTCTGGATCTCAGAGCTACTCAATTGTCTGTTGGCGTAGCATAGCAAGCTGCTTCTGGTAATCCTCCTTTGCTTGCTTTGCCTCGTCGATTCCCCAGCGCCCATCCCTCTCTAGTGTGTATATCTTCTCTATCTTTTTAATCTGCCGCAGGTGGGCTTCTGCCTCGGGCCCAAGAATCCCCAACAAAGTACCAGCCGGAAGGTCTTCTTTCTTACGGATGATCTCACGCCACTCGTCGGTTTGGCCATATTTTGGCGCGTGTTTATTGAAGTCGGACGCAAGTGCGCCACTGTCGCTTGCGTCGAATCTTTCTCCAAAACGAACCCCGTCGCGCATGTCAACATTCAGGCAACTATTGATGTAGCGTTTGACTTTTAGTGGCATGTCTCGAAATCTAGACTGGTACTCTAGTACCTTGATCATGTCGACAAGAATGGTGCCTTTTGGTAGCTTGAATCCGATGTCGGCTAGACCCTGCTGTGTCAAAGTCGGCCGATGGGAACAGACGCAGATTGTCGGATGCGTTGATGACAAGTCACGGAACATCTTTTCGAGGCCCGCGACAGCATCATTGATCGATACAAAGCTGGAATGGGTGTCGTTTGGACTCGCCTGCCATTTGTCCTCCCGCATGCGAACAACATTCTGCGGCCATTTCGACCGCATCCAGAATCGGTACTCGTGCGTTTTGTTCTGTTTGTCATCGCTTTGATCCCCAGTGGTTGATACTGCCGGGGATGATGGGGTTGTGATTTCCACAGACAAGACTGGCATCGCTTCTTCTTGCTTCCAGTAGCCTCTCATCTCGTTACAGGACATCCAACCCTTCCAGGAATAGGCCAGAGCAGACGGGGCCCACTCCATCGTCACCAGAGCGACATGCGGTTTGTCCCAGCAGCGAGCCAAACTTTCATTCTCTGTTGCGCATTCCCGCATTCTCTTCATCTCGCTTTCAGCGACGAGGCCAGTCGGTGGTATCATGGCGACCACTGGACGAATTGGACTATGCTGATTGGATGTAAGTAGCTGCTAATAAAAAACGCTAGCAGCACTACAACAAATTACACAGTAGATGAGCTGGAAACTAAAGAGGGTGAGAAGCTCGTATGTCTAAGCGCGGTAGAGAGAGGAATGAAGTGAATAAGAAACTGATTCCATCAAAAGCCACTATCGAAGAGTTGTTCTGTGACTAGCGCTTACGCTCTGAGAACAGACTCTCCATGTAATGATGTGCTGGCGATAAACACTACCCACCGACCCCAAGGCAGCAGCACAGCCTCGTAACACATGATCCCAAACTCATGGTGGCTGAGTCGATGCCAAGGAGATTGTACCAACCTGATCGACCCTGGCCAACAAGAACTTGGACACTGCATCCAACACTAGGGTGACTGAAAGCCCTACTTGCCTACCTAGGTAGGCATGGTGCGATGATGTGGTGGGGGGAAGCGCGCAGTCATGTGCGAGGCGGGGGCGGCGCACGTCAGGTCATCGGGCGTACCACCCCGGACGAAAGAAGCCACATATCAACACCTTTGCGTTGAGCGTCATCTTTTTCAGTTCAACTTTATTGTTAGATCGACAAGACACTCGCATTATCCTTGTGATCCTCCTGTTGTATACATCAGAAAAATATTAGATTCATAGTCCCTTATCAGGTAGCGAAGAGGCTACCTGCACAAGTTATGTTCCTCCGTGAACGCCCATTTTGGGGTTGCAGACCGTACTATCTAAATACCCTGTGAATACATGTATCAAGCCCCAGCCGGACAATTACCAATAGCTCCAGCTGTGTTGCATGTCGCGACGTCCCGTCAAAGTAGCCGTCTGGCTCCGCTTCCCTTGTCGCAATCCGTCTTCGACCGTACCGTGTACCTACCTGGGTAGGTGAAAGTCTACTGAACAGACGGTCCTTGCATGTTGCTCAAGTTCTCCGGGATGGGCTGTTCGCGCATCTGGATCCAAAACTCTGGCCATTCGTCCCTGAGATGGCCTGTCGGTCACAAAGAGCTCACGGTCAGTCTTTATTGGACAAGTGGGTCGAGTAATGCGTAATTCATGCGGAACCAACATTGTTTTCCAGTCCAGTTTTATACTTACCGATGAGATTGACGAAGCCCGAACGAGGAGTGAGCTTGTAACCGCCTTCGAAGGGCTCGAAGTGGTCCGCGGCGCTACCAGGGTGGACTTGGTCGAACATGGTCCTGATGTCGGTCAAGGTAACCTGGTTACCGGACTTGAGGAAAGTGAGGATTCCGGGGAGGTGGCCGGCCTTGGTGGGGATCAGATCTGAAGCGACGTTTGGCATTGTTGTTGGGATTTGTATGCTTGGATTTGTTGTAAAGGGTGGGAAGAGGATTGATGATGTTGAACTGTATAACCTATTCTCGCAATTGTGGTGTTTATAGAAGAGGGATATATGGTTCTTGATGGCTTGCTTATATACTGGGAGGGAGTGAGATATCGCAAGAGCGAATGATTAGGATTTCGAGGTGAGTGAGAGAGTGGCTGCACGTGGCTAAGTCTTGTGGAAGAAAAATTCTGAATAGCGCGGCTATACGCAGGGAAACAATAGTTAGGTACATCTTGATAATAGTAGAACAATAGAGCGTGATCGAAAAGGTGTGTACTTTGTCTAAGTTCCTAAGTTGCGTGTTATTGTGTAGGTTCTCAGGCAACTATCTGAGCGTAGACTCATGAATAGACACATTCAGAAGACTAAGGATTCGAGAGAAACATCCTATTACAATGAGAGCGCCTAAATGAGGTATGTCCAGGGGAGATGTGAAGGAACATGAGATAATGATTAAACATATCTACGAGAAACGCGACCTATATAGTCCGCTGTCAAAATTGATTGAGTGGAATACCGAGGTGAGCAAGGATCACTTATTGTGCGCGGAATCCTTGTTTGTGCAAGTCATGTTTGGTATTGAACGAGAGTAGACTCCACCACTTCAGTATAGCCCAATTACCAGTCCATCATGAGAAAGGAAAGAGATTATTCCATCACCAACTTCAATTTCCCTGCACCCAGTAATATTATAGACCCCACCAAGCCGTCTCCTCTCACAACACCATCCTGCGAGCCTTCGACCGCACGATTCGTCTAGACAGGATTTGGGTTTTCAGGCGTCGCATCTACAACGTATCGATTACTCAAGACAGTTGGAATCGGGTTCTCGTGGAGCCCGGTCCAGAAATCGGGCCAATTGTCTCTGTAATTGCCTACAGAATCGATGATAGTCAGCTTTTGTTGGCCGCGCTTTGTTGCACATGCATCGTGAGTGCAGAACTGAAGTTATTCATCAGCTCATGGTCATACGCACCGACCATAGTGCGAAAGCCCGACCGGGGACTGAGTATGTAACTGCCGTTTGGTTGCTGTGTGAGATGCGCCAAGTGGTCGTTCTGTTTAGCTGGTGTAGCAGTACGGTTGATAGCGATGATGATGTCGGCTAAGGTGATTGTGGTATTGATGTTGGTCTGGAGGACGCCGAGTATGTCGACGACTTGGACGGATGTGAGGACGACCATTTCGGGTGTGATCGAGACGTTGGAATTGAGTAAGATCAGGGAGAATGATTTTTGGTAGTAAGCCGCTCGTTTCTCGTCTTCGAATGTGTTGTAGAGTGAAGTAGCATACACCCATATTGAGAGCAGCTTTTATACTGCGCCTGAGTCAGGTATCTCCAGGATCGAGTGACTATATTTACAAATTGTGAGATAGAGTGACTGTTACTACATCATGTAGGCTGATCCTTGGTAACGTGGCTATGCCCAAAGCGAGAGGTACCAGCCATGACGCTGACTGGAAATAAATGGGTTTTTTAAGTGTAAGGATACCATAGTAGACATGGCAAACTAAGCGTGCCGTTTTTATACTACCGATCAGTCGCGTGGTGTGGTATACGTGCACTTACAAGGACCCGAGCTCAGTGTTGGCGGAGAGTTGGAGGACGCGCTCGAACCACCTCCATCCTACGATTGCGGGCCACTGCAACCACTACATGGCTGTGACAGAAGCGCGTCAAGATCCAGACTTCTATTACACTGGTCATCTCCAATCTTGTACTCTTGACCCCTCCAGTCCTGCTCTACCCCACACTCTCGAGCCGCCTCGCTCCTACCATTGCGGGTCACCCCAACCGCTATCCGGCCGTGACGGTTGCGCGTCTAGCGTACGACTTCCATGGCACTCGTCATCTCCAATCTTGTACTCTTGACTCCTGCAGTCGCCGTCTTCGATCTTGTACTCTTGACTCCCGCAGTTGTCATCTTCGATCTCGCACTCCTGACTCCCCCAGTCATCTCCTTCTCCACACTCCTCAGTTGCCCCTTCTCCAGCCCTGCATAGAGCAACAGCATCAGCCTCCTCCAACATCTCACCCAACCACTCGAATAACATCCACCCAGCTCTACGCACGACGCCGAAACGAAAGCAATACCGTGAGACTGCGTTGCCGCCCAAGCTGTCAAAGACACGCGAGAACGTCGACTGTGTCGGCTCCATGCACTCCACATCATCTTCTCCCTCATACACACCTTCTTTCTCGTCCTCCTGCTCCACACCCTCCACAACTGGCCTCTCCTTCTCCTCTCGCGCCTCTCTCTCGAGTCTCTCCTTCTCTAGACTTTCCAACGAAACCCAAATCGACGGATTATCCAGCTGAGCCTGAAGGACACAAACACTGCCTTCCACCAGCCCCAACAGTTTCCCATACCCTTCCGCCTTCCCCTTCACCGCCCACTCCAACTGAATCCCCCTACCCATCGGCGTCGGAAAGCTATGCGCAAAAAAGTTCCTGTCATGTCTGATATCACTCGCCGCGCTGAGCGGATCCGGTAAACCAAACGCATGACAACCCCAATCACTATTCACAGCGCGCAGGTTCTCGTTGATGGCGATGTGGTGCATAGCAAACTCATTTTGGACTCTTTCCAACTCAGTGAAGGAAGACGACTTACAGGTTGCAGTCTTCTGGGCTTCGGGCTCGAAGCTGGAGTCTCTTCGCGGACAATTCGGGGTGGGTGCATTGGGGGCTACTACTTCGGTGACGGGGTCTTCCCAGGAGACGTTTGAAGGGGTCGTCTCTATGGCGTTTACACCCGCCAACGACGTCCCTGGGTACGTTTCCAAGATAGCTAAGTTAGCGACGAGGTGTTTGCGAAGGGTGTAGAAGTATTCTAGGGAGAAGAGGACGGATTTGCACGAGACATAGGTGGGGTGAGTTTCTTGGGTTAGTGTGCCGCTGGGGGCGAGGGTGTAGTAATGGATTGTTGCGCGGTAATTTGGGTAGTTTGGGTCGAGGTCTTGGATCTCGTTTGGCGACTGGGCGGGGAGAGGGGTGAGGTTAGCGAGGCCTTCTGGTGTTATGGTGGGAGGGCTGTTGATATCTGGTGTTGGGGACGGGGATGGGCAGGCAACATCATACTTAACCCCAGGCGCAACATCTGATGCTGAGCTGTTAGCGAGATCCAGCGCAGCAGATGGCCCTAGACTTGTACAAACCTCACTCGACATGGTTGTTAACCCAGATTCTGGTCTGGGACTGAGTGAACTCGATTTATCATATATACTCAAGGTAAGCATCTACATCTCTTGCGCGCACTGTGAGTAGAACGACATTGTTGGCTTATATCGTCCTTCTTGTAATCATCCAGACACTATGGAGTAAGAAGAGCTGAACTCCAGAGACAACAGTCCGATGTCCAATGGTAGCATCGTCGTTCTCTCACTGACGTCCTTCTCAGTGTCGTGCTGATGCCCAAGCTCAGACCAGACCAAGCTCCAACGTTCATCCCATGCCAAACGGTCTTCGTTCGAGCACAACATTGTACTATTCCTGTTCGTCCTCGGCCTCACTGTCGTTATGAACCATGCCATGTAGTCCTTCCGTCTCAGCCCCGATCAGAGGAGCCCTCTCGCCCTCGTGACGCGCGAGATGGCCTCCGATGCTGACAGCCAAAGTGCTGAAGCCATGAATCATGGTACTTCCGAGCACAATGAAGCAAACAAGGGGCCAGATCATAGTAGCTGTCCGTTGTCGCTCCACGGGCAGATCCTTGGGCGGATGTGGAAGAGGTAGGGATGTACCAGTCTCGAGCTGCGCGCGGGCCTCGATGGCGAGGAAGAGGGCACCGACACCCATTGGTCCGAAATGACCGACAAAGAGGGCTTCGGTCGTAGTCTTTACGGATGGCAACATTTTCGTCTTGAAAAGCGTGAAAACAATCGGAATTCTGCGGAAGAGTAGGATGAGTGCGAGTAAAGCAACCAGTCGAAGAGGGGTGATTCCGTCTACCGCGTTGAAGCTCGCCCAGGGTATCATTGCGCCGAAGAAGATGAAGAAGGCCGAGTTGATCAGCAAGTCGATGATAACGGGTAGAGCGGTTCCTTCTGTCGGGTTCTTCTGGTTGTGCGCGAAGCCACGTCCTGCGAAAAAGGCTACTAGGAAGTCGTCCACTCCAAGAACCGATGCCAGTCCGATAGAGAAGATGGCCAGGAGTAGGTAGAAGGCCAGGTAAGATGCTCGGCCCATCCACTCGCGGCTGTGCGAGAACCTGTACAGACCGTTGAAGATGTATCCCAGGGCGATACCGAGGAGAACGCCGACCACGCACTGGTATAGGATAGTAACAAGAAACCATTTCGTGAAGAAGCCTTTAGCGGTGTTCTTCAGGAGAAGGCTCAATCCCAGATACAGGAACGGGAAGGATATGCCATCGTTGCAACCACTCTCCGCGCTCAACAAGTCCCTGATCCGCTTGGGTACTCGGGTGCTAAACTGGCTGTTTGACAGAACGGAAGCCGCAAGAACAGGATCCGTGGGTGTGAGACAGGCCGATATCGTCAAAGCGGTCTGGAAGTCTGTGTCGAACAGGAACATGATTAGCATTCCGCACATCAGCCAGCCGAACGTCATGACAGGCCCGAGAAGAACAAGCAAGGCGCGCCATTTCTTTTGGAGATAGCCTGCGGGAAGCTCCAGACCGACTACGAAGCACTGAATCCCGACGATGAGACGCGTCAGTTCTTGGATAATTTCATCCTGCGACGGTTAGTATTGTTTGTTTATATGAGGAGCACACTTACGGAAAAGCCCCATTCATATGGCCTGAGGAGGTTGAGAGCGCGTGGTCCGACGATCTGTCGTTTTTGTTAGCGAAAGGTTCGTTCTTGAAGATGTCTGCGACTCACGATGCCAAACAGCGTGGCTAATGGTGGTTCTGAGAGATGCAGGCGGTTCCGGATCATAAGCGAAAACAGCGCGTACAAGATGAGAAAGAAGGTTAGGGTCACATAGGTAACGTGAGGCCCCGTGGGCTCGAGTTGAGACCAGACCATTATGCTTTACTGTTGGTTAGAGGCACGCGTGCAATTGTGGTGAGTGAGTTGAAGTCTCTGCGAAGCTTGGGCGAGAGTAGGCGTTCTATGATCGCCGTGACGTCGAAGGTAAATGGCGAACTGTGGAACACCGCAAGAAAGCGCGCGCTGGAGAGACAGCGGAGATTCACGCACGAGAACCTCGAGCGGCGAATATCACGGGGGACCTGAAGTGCAGGATTAATGGCGCGTTGGATCAGGTGTCGAGCGCGAAGGATCACGCTGCATGGAGGTGCGCATCGATGACGAAGGTTGGCTGGATTTGGCCTTGCGCTCGGACCGTAGTTGCCGGAAGTGGTGGCACCTTGCATGTTGAACCACACTACCAAGCAATCCAAGGTTAGGTGTGACGGACGTTCAGAAAGAGCAGTAGAGGAAGAACAGTAGAGGAAGAACAGTAGAGATGGCGTGTGAGTGCATGTTTGCGGAGAATTATCGCCCTATCATATGTATGCACCAGTCCCGAATGCGATATATGCAGCTAGGTCAAGCCACTATCTCCACGTGAGCACGCGAGGTAATCAATTGCTCTACTTTTGTGAATCCAGCGCCTCCCTTGAATATGGATATGCCCAACGCCGCTCCCACGCGGTGATGCTACTCAATCTGGCCATGCCAGGCGCCTGCTATTAAAAATACATGCAAATTACAGTGAAACCAATGGATGTGATTATGGGAATTGTCGGCTATGCGTCGTCCGGTGGGTTGTTGAAGAAGGCGAATCGTATCCTGTGGAGCTGGGGAAGTTAGTAATGCTTTGTCTGAAGAGTGTTGGGGTGCATACCGAGGGGAGCTTTGGGATGACGACTGCTATGGTCGCAAAGCAGTTGATGAGGAAATACGTCAGATTGTAATTCGTGTAGTGCGTGCTGACAAGAAATAGCACAATGGGTACGCTGAGAAGGAACTTCTTGGCTGGTGTGTATTGTTCGCCGTTGTCAATCTGTTCCCACATGTTCAAGTTGTCGTAGGCGCCCGAGTTGAAGTCAAAGGGCACACCGCGCACGTAGTGGAACATGAGGTAGGATCCCGCCACGTACGAAAGATTGACGAGGGTCCATGATGCTTCTTGCGACATGCCGGGGATGATGTCGAACAGAATCTTGCCGAAGAAGATGAGGACAAAGTGGATAGCCCAGGCGCCTGGAGGTGTTAGCCTGAGATACAGAATAGCAACACATCATCGCTGTCTCCTGTGATGTGTATGCGCGGTATCTCGTGCTCACCCTTTGCATTCACCCATTCGGCGTTGAGGTTGGGCAGGGCGGACTGGTCGCTCAGCTGCTCCAGAGACTCGGGGGGCTCTTTGTAGACAAGACTACTGCTACGTCGCCTCCTCGCGTCTTTTGCAGCATCCAGCGACATCTTGGAGTAGGACGAGGACGAGGGCGAGTCTGATGGGCGAGACCGCGGATCGCCAGCAAAGCTCAGGCGGGAGGTGCGATTGAGGAGTATGGGTGACAGTTTGGCGGTATTGCTGGGTTCGTCGGGCGGCCGGGCGGTGGAAGAGGGGGATATATAATCGCGTGCGCGGGCTGAGGCTATGGGCGAGCTGCCACGGGCAATGGCATGTCAGTGAGGTCCTAAAGGAGCAAGGCGGCGACGTGGGCTTTCAGGGTCTTCTTACTGAGTACGCAATACCTTCCGGGGCGTCCGAGCTTTTGGCGTTGAGCGATTGGCGCAGAGAAGGGCGTGTAGACGGTAGCGATATGGCGAGGCAGCGGGCAGAGAAGAGGGATCTGTTGGCAGAGGAGGAGGGAGTGAAGCCTCAGTGGGCAGGCGTGAAGACGGAGGCGTGGCAGGTCCACATGATGCTCCCAAAGACCGTGTTCCTAGCAATCACCGAGGCCGTGCCCTGAGCGCAACCATACAACTCTAGAACCAGACACTACCACCTCCGTTCGCCAAAGACCCTCCAACCACCACCCTTTTCACCACCATGGCCTCGGAAGCGCCGCCCCCGATGGAGCCACACGCCCTCGCCCACGATGCACCGCCCGCTGATGCACCCGATGCGACGCAGAAGCCCGTCAAGCGCTCGTGGAGGTATGACGCGCCGACGGATTAAATGCAGTCCCCAGCTAATGTGCATAAAAGACGAAAATACCGTAAAATGCGTATCAGGTTCGAAGAGGCCATGAACGACAGCGACTCCCTCATCAAGCAGGAGTGGAAGGCCATGGGCACCGCCCGCCGCCTGCAGGAGAACAACGACCAGATCCTCGACATCCTCCTCGAGCTCAACGAGCAGACACGCGTCAACCCGCGCCTGCGCTTCGACCTGCGCAATCTCTCCGCCGCCGACACTGCCGTGCCCTCGCTCGAAGCCGTCCCCGATCCAGAACTGGTGAAAGCGCAGCTGCAGACGCTGAGAGATGACCTGGCCGCCAACACCATCACCCCCGAGGAGTACGCGACACGGGCTGACCAACTGCACTCGTCGCAAGCGATCCAGCAGACGCTCAAGTCGCTCGCCAGCCTCGAAGCCAAAGTCCCCCACACGACGCGCGCCGACCTGCCCGACCACCCCGTCGAGGGCATCGACCTCAGCGAGCATGCGCCGGGCTACATGTCGCCCACCCACGAAGACGAATACCTCCTCGCTACCGACCAGCTCCTCGAGCAGCCCGGCTTTGACCAGGCCCTCCAGCAGGGCCGCCCCGTCCGCCTCGCATCCGCCCAGCCCCCGCTCAGCGAAAAGGATCTTACCGTGCGCAACCCGGACAGCGTCTACAACTGGCTGCGCAAGCATCAGCCCCAAGTCTTCCTGCAAGACAAAGACGCGGCGCATCACGAGAACCTCTCCGAAAAGTCTGCCGCGCCAAAGACCAGCAAAGCCAACGCAACCAAGGTCAAACGCGAGTCAAACATTGGCGGCGGCGGCACACCCGCTCCCCGCGACCACGACGACGAAGACTCTGCCGCCCCCGAAACCGGCAAGGGACGACGCAAGACTGGTGGTGGCGATGACGACACCGCCTACCGACCCAAGGGTGGAAGCTCTCGACCCGCAAAGCGTAAGCGGGAAGAGGGCGAGACGCCTGCGGGCAAGGGCAGCAGGAAGAAGAGTCGCCCCAGCGCGGTCACAGGGCCAGCTGCTTGACCTGCTTGCTAACAGCGCGCATAGAAGAGATGGCCTATCGAGCTGGGGTATGCACTCATTGCGTGCGCAGTTATGATAGCAAGACCTCGTACACATGCAACGTACGGATCCACGCTGAGAACGCTTCCGTAGCCATCCCTTGTAAGACGTGCGAGCGCCGTGGCGCCGAGTGTATTGTCGATCCACTCAATACCGGAATCATGGATACATCCGTTTAACATCGTCGCAAAAATCATGTTGGAATTGGGTATGGCGTTCTAGGGAAATACTGGCGTAACGATGGGTCTAACTATACCCTTGGAAGACTATTCCCGGAAATCTGTATCAATAGGAGTTAAGGTCCACCACTGGATATTTGGTATCATCCACACACACAGCACAGAAAGATGCTGTTTCCATTGCGTATTCTGTAACACAACAATCAAACATTTCATATTCATACAGCAACAATCACATGTGTTGTCTAATCCCTACCTCAGCGGCTTCCCCCTCGCACCCCCCACCATAACCGTCTCCGGCGCCTTACCCACCTCACTCATAAACGGCAAGCTCGTCTCAAGCACCTTGCTCCCATCCACCAGCAACCCATTGCCCTTCCTCTGATCCTCAAGATACGCCGTCTTCGCCCTCTTCTCCTCCAGATACTGTTTCCTCTCCTTCGTCAGCACCCATTCCTTAGGGAACTCCGCCCGTTTCTTCGGCGTATGATGTCTGAAATCAAACGGCACATCTTCAAACGTATCCTTGCCTTCCTTCGCTTCTTTGATAATAGCAGACAGGGTGTCGCCTAGGAACCGCTTGTTTTGTGACTGTGTATCGAATTTCTCGCACGAGAGCTTGACGATGTTGGTGGAGGGGTTGTAGCGGGGTCCGGCGAGTTTGATTACTTTGGAGACTTGGAGGGGGGTGAGGGAGTGTGAGGCGCTGAGGTCGTTGGGCGAGAACTCGACGACGACTTTGTTGGCGGCGGGGTGCGATTCACCGAGGTAGGAGGTGTAGCGGAAGCGGAAGGGGGTGGAGGATGTGGGGGGTTCGAAGGGGCGGGCGAGGTCTGGATTATGTTAGTATGTGTATTTCATCTCATGTCTTGTCCAATGATGGTAGACGTACGACTCAAGAGAGGTAACTCCCATGCAATCAACCGCGCGTACTCTCTCAACTCGCGGTGCTGCTCCAACTCTCCGTGTCCATGACTCGTCAGGTCGTCTCCGTAGTAGTCCTCGTCTGGTCCCATGCTCTCTTCGCCCTCCGCCCAGAACCCAGTGGATACCTTTCTCTTGTCGTCTTCTTCGATATCAAAGTCTTCGTCTGTTTCCAGGCCAAAGTCTTGAGTTTGCGGTAGACCGCGCTTCCCCTTGCGCAGAGCGTCGCGGACAACGTTCGGATCGATCTCTGCGAGGGAAACGCGAAGGTTCTCCAACATGGCGGATTCGCGTTCTTGCGGTGTCATGTCTTGGAAAGCTTTTGTCTGCGTGGTGTTTGAGAACGAGGATTGAGGTAATTCCGGCGCCAATTCCTCCAAAGTCCCAGTCGGTTTCTTCGCATCCGCAGCGGTTACAGAGCCCTCTTTCGTGGGTTCGTTGGCGTACCGCCGCGGCGTTGTGGATATTGGCCGTTGCCATTGTGCGGATGTGTGTTTCGGTGCGGCGAGCGTTCGTATCCGCGAGGGGCATTGGCGTGACTGCAGCAGCAGTCTTCGTGGTATTGACGCCATTGGATGTGGATGGGCGGGTGATGCTGTCGTCGACTTTTCGCGATGCAGGATTGGCTTGGCGATGGGGTGCAAAGTGTGGCCGTGCGTTGGACCAATTGGAACTAAGATGGCCCCGACCTTCGCCGCTGTCGTGGCATCGTGACCATCTTGACGCCGACGTGATTTCGACTTTTGGTTCTAATATCGAGGGCAATTGATGGCTGGACTGATCACGCTCACCTTTTACTATCCCTCGATATCTTGACACCCATCACATCCACCATGGCTTGGAACTGGCCGTCTGATTCGAAGCTCTGCTTCGTGACTACCGGAGCAACGGCGCCGTTCACCGAGCTCATTGAATCAGTGCTGAGTCCAAAGTGTCTGGATTCACTACGCGAAGGAGGATTCACTCATCTCTTGGTTCAATACGGATCTGCCGAGGACGTGTACAAACAGTTCTCCAGACTCGCTTCAGCATATATACAAGAGACGACTTCATCAAAAGGAGACCTCATCATAGATGGCATAGATTTCAACCCAGATGGACTGAAAACTCAGTTCCAGTTGGTGCAGCGGTCGAAAGGCTTGGTTATCTCACATGCTGGTACTGCAAAGCCATCCCATTTGGTTGATTCATCTGACGATGCATAGGATCCGGGTCTATCCTCGAAGCACTTCGCTATCAGATCCCACTCATTGTCGTTCCAAATACTGGATTGTTGGACAATCACCAGGAGGAGCTCACCGTTGCAATGGAACGCAATAACTACCTCGTTCGTGGGGATGTAAAGTACGATTGTGCTTTGGACTTGTGGTAGCTTGACCTGACAGATCTTTAGGAATCTTGCGCCTGCGATCAAGAAGTCAGACGAGTTCCGACTGAAGATGTCGCAATTCCCGCCTATGACGAGTGGGAAGCATCGCGAGACTAAGAGCTTCGCGGCCATCATGGACGAGACGACAGGTTATATGGATTGATGTGACCTTCATCAACACTTTCTCGGTTCTTCTTCGCGGAAGAGCTTGAATTTTGACGGACTTGAGAGCTGGCCCGACACTTGGGAGGAGGGCACGCTGTTCGGCATAGACCGCGTCTTGGATACTCAGTCTTCAACTAACAGGACTTCCAGCCTGGACACGGTTGAAGAAGAAGCAAGAATATGTCGTTATCTCAGAGAATGGCATTCGTCGCATTCCGGTACCATATGGCTCCTGCAACGCATCGATGCGGCAGGACGTACCATAAGGTCCAGGTGGACACGGTTGGAAACTGCGTCACCTGTCACTTCCATTGGGTCACGGCGTGGAACCGAGACTGGTTGCTCCGGATGTCTATTGTGGTAGTCGCTTCCTCTTCGCTCTTCATGCGGGTTTGCGACTGCCCGGAATTCCACTGTATACATGTCTATGACGTTTGTACCTGAGCTTTACAGATCGTACCCGCAATTCTGGCTTGTACTACTTTCTTCACTTTCACCACTTGGTCTTTTCGTTCGACCTTCTTTCTCTGCTCTACTGCATCTCGATATTCTGGCACAGATACAGCAAACAATCCAATCCACACCCAATCCAGCATGCGTGCGCAGTCCTTCATCACAACGCTGCTGGCAGCTGTAGCCTCCGTTGTAGCAGCCGCGCCTAGGTGAGCACCCTTCCGTATAAGCCCAGTCTCATAGGCTTACTAGATCTGTAGTACCCTTCACGCCCGAAGCGTCGCTTTTGACTGGGATACCGAGAAAGTGCGAGGCGTCAACATTGGCGGTTGGCTCGTCGTGGAGCCGTAAGCAAGCCAATACAGATTGTTTGCTCCCCCTGACACTGCCAGATTCATCACACCATCCATCTTCGAGAAGTACGACTCAGAAGAATGGCCAGTCTTTGACGAATGGACGCTTTGCGAGCGACTTGGCTACGATGCTTGTGCCGATGTGCTGAAGCAACATTGGGATAACTTCGTCTCATTGGACGACTTTTGGAAGATCAAGAATTCCGGCTTCAACATCGTGCGCATTCCCGTCGGTTACTGGAGGTGAGATCAGATACGATGACAACACATGATTCATGCTAACCTCAACCTCCTCAGCTACGTGGAACCCTGGGGCCCTTACATCGCCGGTGCCGCTCCCTACCTCGACGCCGCAATCGACTGGGCGCGCCAAACCGGTCTCAAGATCATCATCGACCTCCACGGCGCACCCAAATCCCAGAACGGCTTTGATCACAGCGGCCACACATCATCTTGGCCATCCTGGGGTGACGCCGAGAGTCTGAGCCATACACACGCTGCACTCAGCGTGATCTCACAAAAGTACGCCAAACCAGAGATGCAAGACGTCGTTATCGCCATCCAATTCCTCAACGAGCCTTTCCTACTAAAGCTCGATCGCGAGATGGTCAAACAGTTCTACAACGACGCGTATTGGAGCCTACGAGATATCAGCGACACACCCGCCATGATGCATGATGGCTTTGAGAACCCGTCTTGGCTGAACGGTTTCCTGACTACCAAGGATGGCGCTAGCAATGTGATTGTCGATCACCATGAGTACCAGATTTTCGGAGATGGTATCAACGGCATGTCCATCGACCAACACATCGCTCTTGCGTGCAACTCTGTATGTCACAAGCTCTCTATCATCATGTGGAGAAACATCTGCTAACCCCTCCCTTCCAGGTCACCAACTACGACACCTCCGACAAATGGACCAGTAAGCCCCGCCCACCCCCTCCCCTCCCATCCGCACACTAACCCCCCACCCCAGTCGTAGGCGAATGGTCCGGCGCCTTCACAGACTGCGCCCCGCACCTCAACGGCTTCCACTTGGGCTCCCGCATGGAAGGCAGTTTCCCCGGCTCCTACTACATCGACACCTGCGCCGGCAAATCCGGTCCTGTTTCCTTGTGGTCTCAGGATTGGAAGAACAGCGTACGCCGCTACATCGAAGTTCAACTCGATGCGTATGAAGCCAAGACCAAAGGATGGATCTTTTGGAACTTCAAGACTGAGGGCGGCGCGGGCGAGTGGGATCTGTTTCAGTTGCTTGATGGGGGTGTTTTTCCGCAGCCGTTGGAGAGTAGATGGTTTGAGAGGGCTTGTACGAACTTTTAGGTGGGCGTGAGGGACGATGGGCGAGGATCAATGGGCTCAGATGGGATGGAAGACGGGTGTAATGTTGTGGTCGACGGGTGATGGGGTATGAGGTGGTACTTGTGCATGGGTATGTGGCATCTTAGTGGATATGTACTGACATCGCATGTTGATATGAAAAATCAGTTGGACATCACTCCCGTCTTCACATTGCGAGCCGGGCCGTGTACAGTCTTCGTACTCGGCTTCCCTTACTTGCAATAGTGTGAGTAGTGCATATTTTTATTCGCACCTACATCAAAGATTACTAACACGTTGACATGGTATCTTCAGGAAAGCACCTCCCATTTCCTAGCACTAGACATGCGTTCACTTTGATCCCCACGAGATATAATCTGCATCAATCCCTCGCTATCGAGGCCTCATCCTCCTTCGCCTTTTTTATTCTTACATATACACAATCTTATATACATCCCAAACTCTTTCCAGCAAACGGCCGTCACTGTGCTCTTGGTCCCCATTGCCAGATCCAACGTCCAACGTGCTATCGAACTGGTATATATAACGCCACGAGAATCGTGCCATACAATTCCGCTTGGTACTCCCTGACCTTCGTTGCGAGTGGTTCTGGCTCAGACAACCCTGACGTAACCGGGCTAGCATCCAGGTGGTTGCGCCATTTCACGAGGTACGACTGTATGAAGAAACATCTACACGATGCGCACCTAATCGAGAGCCCGTAAACTCTTCATTTCCAAAAAGACGATTGAGCTGATGACAACAGGTTTCCTCGAACTAAGCGCGGTTTCTCCGTGCCACTCTATATATACTGTGCGAGAAAGCGAAACGGCTCACTATGACATGTCTCGCGGACAGACACTCTGTCGCGTTTTACTCTGCGCGTCGTTCCTAAATATACACCCGGATTCCAGTGCATTCGCCTATTGGCTCATGTTGCGGAACGCTGCTCGCATCGTCACTCGATAGCTGGAGAAATTTCCTTCCACTCCATTCACCAGATGAATGGACTGTTCACGCCGTCAGCCAAGATTCAAGATCGACAGCCGACAGTCTTGACGTTCCTCCACGATGTGGTGCGTGCTGTTGTGGGCTCCGCCATTACACCGGATGAAGTTATAGTGGGGAGCTATATAGCTTTGGATACGTCGAGGCTGAGAAAGCGGGAAGAAAGCATGCCTTATACAATTCCCCTTAATTATGTATACGCGCACTCGCCGCGCTGTACAACTGTGTGCGAAAGCCGGTACGTATCCCCATTCTATTTGATCGCCCACGGATGTAAAACATGCTGGGCCTGTACGTTGGAAAGCGAAGATAACTGACACCTACCCAGATCATACGGGCAACGGCTCCGCGACACAGATTGTACCGTGGATGGTGCAGTGCTGGGTTCACTGGGAAGACAAAGTGCCCGAATGACCACTATTGGATGATTTTGTCCGTCGTGCGCGACTTGCACACGAAACGTCACAAAGATGAGCACCAGGCGGCAGGATATATACGCCTGGCAAGTGTTCTTTGCGATTGCAGTCTTGCGAACTGCGATGAGAACACACCACATGATTGACTGTGGTCTTCCTCGTCCACTGGTACTGCGACGATACAGCGACGAGGCGCCCACGATTACCGCATCACTCAATCATCCCAAACACCAATGTACTCTCAAATGCAAAGATCGCAACGAGAGACTTGCTTCAAGACCGAATACTCGACGCGTGCATTCCTCAGCACTCCATTACGAGAACAATATGCAAGTCCAACACGCAAACTCTGCTTATAAGAAAAATTGTCCTGCAAGGAGAAAGTTTCTGATACACAACCCTGCTGCGATCACAAAGTCCAGAACCGCACATCATCATTTTCTCCTCTCCGCACACCCGTCATTTACTATTTTTGCCCCCTGCGCACCGGAAGACGTGGGCTTCCCCGCTCGCCTCGAGCACCACGGCCCTCCTCTTTGTCCGCAATTGCGTGTCTGTGTTGCGTGCTCGGATCTCCCGAATCTTATCGGACAGACGCTCGGAGAGGAGGGTTGATGTGCATTTGCAGTCTTGATAGGAGAGATTGTAATCCAACAATTTAAAGTGTACGGAATTCCGTACTGAAGACGCGCAGCGAATGAAGGTCGCTTCCACTGCCGCACATGCTGACGTGAAGTACCGAGCCAATTGCCTCGGTTTCCACGGAATCTTAGTCGTTTAGTGCTGATTGCCGGTGCCGCGCTCGCTAGTTAGGGCCTGGGAACTGCAGCAACCAGCATAACGGTTTTGCGCCAAGTAACTGGGTACCAATTTTGGGCTGTCACTGGGCAATGCGTAGTCTTCACCCCTTCTTTTTTGATTCCAAGGCTGAGAGGCGATCTGCGTGGCCCTGTCTGGGTAACCAAATGCACAGACTGAGGTTGCGATCGCATCGTGCAAATTATAAGGCGGTGGTCAGAGAGCGTTGTGTTCGCCCCGTAACTCGTCCAAACTTCTTGGGCACGAACGTCGCCAGGAGGAGTCTAGCTCCATTGGGACATCGCGTTTGGGCACCGGCCGGCTAGTGCTACTGACATGCACCGAACCACGGTCGAAAATTTCGAGTCTGTCATCAAAGTTCATCAGCTTGCTGTGCGCATATTCAACAAGCAGGTTGATGCTGGATTTCGATGATGACTTTGCTTCATGGGCCAAACTTTGGGCTGCTGGATGAGCTCCCTAAGATGCGACTTGCAAAGTACCTCCTATCTGGCAATAAAGACGACTTTCACATGACGTCTAGTCCACGTCCGCGACCCGCATCGTTCACGCAAGGACAAGACTCCGTGGGGTCCTCGGCAGCTGCGTAATGCAGACGAAACGTGGGAGCACAGACGAAAAGTAATGGGAAACCTCGAAAATACGGTGCGAAATCCAAGTGTCAAAAAGCTGTTGTGCTGGATTTTAGAGTTTCGGACCGGTTTACGTCGCTTTGTTTGGCAAGCCTCAACAGCCCAAGGCGCCTCATTACCAACGGCTTTAACGCGAGCGCTCTGGGAAATTGAGCACATGTCATCGGATCGTAGTGGGAGTGTGTTCTGGACCTGCTCGCTAATGACTTACTCCACATTATTCTCCGACACATCCCAGCGATCATGTTTCGCATCACATGGGATGCCTTGGGTACTGATGGGTTCTGTCGTGTGAAGTGACGAGCATCGCAGCTGTCTCTATGGAAACGTTCGAGCATGGACGGGGTTCACTGACATCTGCAATATGCACTCCAACGGCTTTCTGAATGGTGAACCAGTCTTTCGTTCTTTGGTGTGCATGTCACTAAGGCATAGGCGAAAAACACACCCCGGTCCTCGTCTTTCTGAGGTCATCGGATGCGAGTCCGAACCACAACATCGCCCCGCCTCAGCAGCATTGAGCCAATCAGGCGCTTTGCCGGACAGTCGCTGGACTATTGACCGAACGGCTCTGCATGGATCAACCGTTTTTCTGGCGTATTACGAAGATCGCCCCGCCTTGCTTTGCGACTGTTAGCGGGGCCGGAGGGACGCGCAGCTGTGTTTCCCAGTTTCAGCTGTATTTGTATCCCGTGGCGCCCGTGGTCAACACAACAACAACAATCGCAAAAAAGCAACTAGCATGCCCCTATCAACATAAACACCCTCGCGCGAACCACTCCTGAAACATTGAACTCTCTTCGGACCCAGGAATCGGAACTCAATCGAAATCAATCGCTCGCTGCCAGGATGTCGACTACCATTGGCGTGCCGTATGACGACCTTCGTCCGCATGTCCTGCGACAGAAGAAGTCGTTCTTCCAACGGCTGAACGAAACTCACGACCAGCTCCTCTCGCACATGCGGTCGTTGAAAGAGGATCCGGTGCTTTCTGTCAAGCAATCAGCCGAACGCACGAGGGCTTCATCGACAACATCGCTCACATCCGTGCCGGAGTCAGATCGGGAAAGCTCCCAGGACACGACACGATGCACCGAATTCGACCTCGAAACCCCGATATCGAGCGGATTCCTGTCCCCGCCCATCTCCCCCGTCGAAGGCAGCTTCTTCCCCATCCAGCAATTCCTAATGCCCATGGACCGCAAGCCCAGCAAGGAATTCATCCAAGGCATGCAAGGCTACGTGCACTGGAAGCAAGCAACCTACGAGTCCACGCTCAGCCCACCCATCTCCCCACCCCAAACACCGCAAAGCAGCTACTCCTGGAGCTCCTCAAGAAGCACCCGCAGCGAGATGTCTGACGAGGAGATGGACGACTGGCTCGACCGGCCCATGGACGCAGACGTGCATCGCTTCCGCAAGATCTCCGCCTCTTCGCTGGAAGAATCGTCTGACTCCGACGGCGACGACGAGAAGAAGATCCACGTCATCCAAGAGCAGCCCGAAGATGAAGACGACAGCGCGTCCCGCGAAGAACGCCAGCACATCTCCGCTATGTGGCGTGAGACGTGGTGCATGCGCGATTCTCAGGCGGATATCTCGTTTGAAGACCAGATCGGCGAGATTGCGCCTGAAGCAACGCTGAAGGCTTCGCCGAGGTCGAATAAATCCAGGAACCGCGAGTCCAGGTTACTGTCGCTACCGGATGGAGTGCTCCGCAATATTGCTCTTCACGTGCCGCAGGAGCACACGCAGCCTTTCCGGTTGAGCTGCGCGAAGTTCGATACCCTTGTTCAAACACCACTGTGCTCTACTTGAGCTAATCGAGAAACCTTTCCTTTGTCATTTTGCATCGCGTCCGACGTTTGTCGAGATTGCTGTTATATACACCGCCCCGGAAAGGGAGCTAGAGAGAGAAGCCGCAAGGCACCATTGCATTACCACATTTCATTATCTTCAGCAGTTCAAATTTTTGGCGGAAGAGTATCGCGTCGGAGACGGTGGGCCTGCCGATTTACATACCGCGTCGAACGAAGACAACATCAAGACATGTTGCCATCGACGCAAGAGATTGGCTGGGCGGGTGCGATTCGTATGTGGTGTTCAGATGGATATCATTGGATACATA